TCCTTCCCTGTTGACCATCCGGAGGATCACACATGCTTCACCACAAAACAGAACATTAGTGTACGAATGAGATCAACACCATCTAAAGAGCGTATCAAAGGGTTAGGAGTTCAACCACAACCAGGTCGTAAACATCGTCATAAAATCAATCAAATGCGAATTCAACTTATTGATTGGATGAAAGTCCAACAAAACCCCCACCACCCCCACTGAAACCTTGATTGCACCATCTAAGTGCACTAGAAAGGATATTTTATATCATTTGCATAATTTTAACTAATGCCAACCATGCCAAGTTCTATTGATGCATCCCTCCCAAAATTTTAATTTGGAGCTGATTTATCTCCTAAAAATAAAAATAATGCTCCCCGCTATACCAGTATACCTAAAATGTTAATTTAACTAGTAGTAGAAAGTAAACTAAAAACATTATATTTAAGGGCAACTTGGTTGTATTTTATGGAAACAGAAGTGTTCCGGCCCACAAGATCAAAGAGCTTCGAGAGTTGGGTACAAGAAATGAAGAAAGGCAGTGGGTACCTAGCCCAGTCACAACATACATTCCACGCCAGAGCCCAATGAACCAGAAAATGTGCCACACAATTATATATGGCGGCAGCATGACTCTTGATTCTTCCACCTTCCCACTAGTTCCCAAAGAAAGTCCAATTGGAGACTCTGATGAACAACTTGGCCCAGATTGAGAAAAGTATTAGATAATCTGGTGAGTTGATATCGATCAAAATCAGTGTTTTTTTTTTGAGGGACGATCAAAATCAGTGTTGCTGAAAAGATAATCACAAATGATGCGATCAAGGAGAAGTCGCGCTCTGCAATTCAAAGTTCGAGCTCCGACAAAATATAATTCGCCAATTATATACGTAATTTCCGTAAATTCGCATTCTGACTGTTAGAAGGAGGAGCGTCATTGCAAGAGTTACGAATTGGGTAACCTAAGTGTTGACTAATCATTCTTACATCAAACAATTAGACAGTCTCTCAGCCCGAAAATGGGAACCTAACCTATGAATGAATATGTTTAATGGGGACATTGATTGAATCCATCCGATAGAGGTCTTTGATTAGCTCTTATTAGAGCCTTAATTTCACATGACCTATATTTCCAATCATGAAATTAAATATCGCAAGTCTAAACCATATAAAAAAAACTCAAAAGATAAAGAAGGGGTGTTTGTAGAATAATTTATTTATATATTTAATTATTAATTGCAATGGTAATTAAATTGGTATTCGAAAATATAGATTATGTATGAAAATATGAGATACAAATTTATTTTGTGAGTGGGATTAGATTATTTTAGAATATTAATCGGTATTTAAGATTTAATATTTGGTATCGTGATATCGGTGTCGTACCAATATCTAAGAGTGAACAAAAAGAACCGTATCCCATCCAATACGACCCAAACACCCGTATTTATTTCTAAAATTAAGGTTTCATATATGGTGAAGGTTTTATTAGTAGAACCAGACTTTTTTGGTTGGTTGTGGGTTTTGGGTTATGTAACCCGTAGATACCCCACCAATCCCATGTTACAACTATTGTGCCATATGTTCATATTTGAAATGTATTTACTATTTAGTGTCTTATATAAACATATTTATGAGAATGTTAGGATAGTTGTTATATATTTCTCTCGTGGTTTCGGTAGCCTATTGTATTTTGATGCGTTATGATTCGGCTGTTTTCTTGAAATTTTAATTAGTTATATAGTATTTTCTTTTTGTGGTGTAAAATAGTTTCATTTTGTAAGTGCTAAGTTGTATTTTTACTTAGAAGTATAGCTCATCCAACCCAACCCAATCATAAATAAATCATAGGATTTTAATATTTTTCCGGTGGGTTTGAATTTACTGTTTTCAATATAAAAGTACATGAATCGGGCGATTGAAATGATTAAACCCGAACCATATACTCCTAGCAAGTTCCACCATACTAATATCCACGCCTTCTAGCAGCAGATGTGATGTCCAATTATAATCTAGAGTAGGGTGCATAACTCATGGTTACCGAACCACCCAAGTTTAGTATTTTCAAAACTAAAGTACATGAATCGGGTGATTAAAATTATTATACCCAAATCACTCGATACCCTGCCAATTTCCATCTTAGCCTCATCCCTGCCTCCCAACAACATATGTGCATGTCCAAAGTACATTTATCATGAAGTGGCGGTGTGGTTAATTCTGCGTCACACGCCTCACCACAGGTATCATGAACTAGACCCAAAAACACATATCAGAAACAACAAACCACACCGCAAATACTATAAAGTAGATCGAAACCTCAACACACCCAAAATTCATAAAGCATACCATAAAACTCAAAGTAGACCACAAGTTCGCTGAAGCATAACATAAACCTCATAAAAGCATACTACAAGTTCCATGAAACATACCAGAAACCTCATAAAGCATACCACAAAGTTTCTTAAAACAGACCACAAGTTCCCTAAACCCGACCGAAAACTTCATAAAGCAAATCAAATGTTCTATGAAGCATATAAGAAACCTCATAAAACATAGTACAAGTTTATGAAAGCAGACCACAAGTTTATTAATCCAGATTAGAAACCTCATAAACTTTGACCTATTTGTAAATTTAAAAAGTTTAGGTATTAAAATGTAAGACATAAAACTTTCAGGTACTAAAATTATATTCTCCTTCAATTTTTTACAACTTATATTACATGCACAATTTTTTTTGGTACTAAATTTTTGAATCCATTAAATTTAGGTATCAAACTGTAATTTGCATAGGAAATCCAAATCAATGGAGCAAAGAGAGGGAAATGAAACTGCTATAAGTGAGTAATTACTATAATATTTTGATGAATGATATTAGCATGTTGCTACTTGCTAGTATTACAACCGGTTCCAAGTTCACCTTTTAACTCACTCAACTATTGACAATTTTTGAATCAAATTAGAACTTAAGCCTGCTAATCACTGTTAATATAGAAAGAGTCTCTGCAGCACTGCTGTTACCAAGACACTAACCGGGATAGAGAATTATTGAGAACGTGGGACCGGAAAATGAATGGAGTTTTTGAACCGAGAGAAAGTTGGTGGTTTGGTGAGCTTGGCAGGGCTCCATATGCTTCACGTTCCTTTCTGGCTGAAATTTGGTAGTTGAAACAATTAACCTCATTTCTCCTTTTTCTTTTCTTTTCTACTACAACTCTATCTGCGGATTGTGAAGTGCGAACGCCCAACGATGCAAAAGTGTCAGCTTTTACAAAAGGAGAAAAGCCAATTATCTTTTCAAAACAACTATTTTTTCTTCTTCTGGGTAATCAAATTAAACAAAATTTCCGCAAGAAAGCATGGTTTTCTCTTTTCTGTGGTGTATTTCTATTTTTCTTGTTATAAATGAATGCTACATATTTAGTTTTCATTCACACGTTAATAATAAAAGACAATATTTGAAACAGAAAATCCAAAGATATGTCATGATCGCGACTCGTGAAGTAATATGCCCTCATTACAGATGTGGGAAATCAACATGTTCTAGTTCTAGGTGACTAACTCTTGGAAATGGTGTATGATTCTTGTATGGCGGTGATTCGCGAGAAGCAGCACTGCACAAATTCAATTCTAATCCATGCCAACCGAAGACATTCAACAACTCCCCTCAATTTTGCTTGAGGTGATAGAACAAACACTCAAGTTCAAAGCAAATGTTGCAATGGAGTACCATCAACCATGTATGATCTCTAATCAAGCCAAAGCCACCCTCAGCAGTAAAGCTTGATTTTGGAAGGATAAAGCCGTCTAGAATGGGGGTAACCCACTTCGAAGAAAACGACTTCCAGGAGTGATACTCAAGTGACAACCCCTAAATATGAACCAAAATTGGTAATGTTTCAACTGGAGACACAACTAGTTAGATTCACGACGCCCACTCTCCAAAAAAACACACTTGATTACCCTGGAAATGCCACAACCTTGATTTGAACACACTTTCTTGTCGGCGCATATAAGAAATTTGAACACAAACAGTCACGACCCAAAATTTGAAATCCTAACTAATATCTACTGTCCCCAAAGGTATTTTCCCACTATTGAAGAAGAGCGACCTTCATAGTATGATTGATGAACTACACTAAGAGGCAACATTTCCATCAATCATCGTCACTCTTCTTGAGCTCTTGTGGAAGATGAAACCCGTCATTGAGCTTCTCCAAAGGACGAAAGCGAATTCGATTCTTGGGCTCGACCTCAAACACCTTGGCTCATGAAATAGCCTCCCCGACCAGATTCTCACTGCGAGGTCGCCATCATGGCAAAAGGTTCGATAAGTTTATTTAGCAAACGAGGAAAGATGAGAGAAAGGGGTTCAGAGAGATTTTTTAGACTATTTCTCCTCATTGTAGAAAATTTTGTTATTTCTTATAATCAAGATTCAACTGTCAAGTCTTTCTTTCAATGTTTTAGAAACCGTAACTACAACCTGCTCGGACTAGGAATGCTAGGTATGGGATCCCAAACCGGAAAGCGATTTTAGCGATATGTAACGATTGAACCACAGTTAAATCATAATTTTAGTACAACATAGCTAATCATTCGCTTTTCCGGTATAATCCTCATTACAGTTTCACAATCATCCATCTCTTTTCAAATGTATAGGTTGTTTCTTAATTTGAATTGGATCACACATATAGACCAAAGACATTTTGGGCTAAAATTTTCGCAAACATTAGAATTTAGAACACATTTGGGGAAAAAGAGTCCCTTTAAATATTTTAGACTGAGAGCATAAAAGTATAAAGTTAATAAAGAAAAAAAAACAATCTCATTCTGGATGACAATGGGATTAGTTTTGTTTAGGGTCTTAATTTTGCCACTCAAAGTTATTAAAGAAAGAATATGATTCTGGGTGACAATGCGGAATTAGTTTTATTTAAGGTCTTGATTTGTTCCATCTCGGAGTTGTTTAATGCAATCAATTAGTCACTTGTATCTCTGAACTGCTGTAGCCCTTCGTTTGGGGGGGTAGAATTAATGCAAGTTTTATTTAAAAAATAGTTTTGTTTAATAATTTCCTTCCTATATATGGCCGGCTGTGGAGTGTGGGCTGCAGGTCGTCCTTTCTTTCTCGCTCTTGTCTCCAAAACTTCGCTCTCTGCCTTAAGCTATTTCTCATTCTCTCTCTCTTGCTAAGTGTAAGTCGCGCGCCCTTTCAATTGCAATTCCAGTCAATGTCTACTGCCCTTAATTTCTCAGCTTAGTTGCATCTCTGGCACTGGGTTCTCTAGTATGGTTCAGTTCTGATAATGGGTTCCTATTTTTTAGCTGAATTTCAGGGGTCGGAGCTTATTTTTATCAGCTAGATCGTCGAAATGGCTGCAAAACCAGCCAGAATCCATGAGTTTGATGATGTGGTTAACCACAAAAGCCGGGACGATTGCTGGCTCCTTATTCACGGCAAGGTCAGTTCTTTCCTTTCTTTCTGCCTGTTCCGTACACCCCAATTTCACTGTTTGCCGTTCTTCCATGTTCTGCATTCGTCAATATATTGTTGGGATCTGTCTCGGATTCTACTGTGGTCTTGCTCTGCTCTGGATTCGTTTGAAAGTTGTTTTTTTTAACTGTTATGTGTTACTTAAAGGGATTCGAAATTGCGATATTCAGATTCAAGATCAATGTTAATACCACTAGACCAAATCCTTGCAACGACTGATGCTACTGTCGTATTGTTCTAGTTGTTTGACTTAGTGTGTGTTAATATCTAGCTAATGTTACTTGATAAAGTAGGTAGCTTGATTTGTATGTGTCATCTGTTGTTAGTGAAATTTAGGGGAATCGAGTATCCAACCTTTTAACTGTAACTGCAGGTATACAATGTGACAGAATTTCTTGAAGAACATCCTGGAGGGGACGAGGTGCTTCTTGCAGCTACTGGTAAAAGCAGAAACCCACACTATATATCCCGATTGCCTTTTCCTTACAAGCTTGCTATGGTTTCAATTTGTTTGATTGATGATCGATGGTGAGAACGGGTTTGTTGCACAATGCAGAGAAAGATGCGACCGACGATTTCGAAGACGTGGGGCACGGGAAGGAAGCTCGGGAGCTGATGATGAAGTACTACATTGGCGACATCGATCCGGCCAGCGTTCCGTCGGGGAGGAAGTACAACCCGCCGGTGCACACTGCCAAGGATCCACAGTACAACGCCTACTTGATCAAGCTGCTCCAGGTGGTGCTGCCACTCTTGATTTTCGGCATCGCTTTCGCTGCCCGTACCGCTCTGAAGAAGGAGTAGTAGTAGGGATAGTGTGGTTTTTCAGAGGTCCTCTGCTTATCTTCTATGGTTGTGTCTGTGGTTGAGTTTCATGGACAGTGTCCTTTGGGTCGTTTTGATTTGGTGATTGGTCTCTTAATAATTGCAGTTAGCTTTTCTGTGGTTGGTGTTGTTGTTAGTTGTAACAATTTGCCCGGGGTACTATTTTGGCCTTGTTGTTGAACTTCTCTTTGGCAAGTTTGGCTGGTTGGATCATGGATAGTAAATTGGCCAGTCGTAGCAAACTACTAATCATCTTGCAGACAGAGGTTTAACAGATCGCATGCAAAAGGAATAACGACATATGCAATAATTTTCAAGAATGTGGGAATTTCGATGGACACACGGCTAGTCTGGCCATCCATCCATCGTACCAACGGACCACATCAAGCCAATTCGGCAAACAATATAGTAGGGCTGCACAAGAGGCGAGTCGAGTTTTTTCTTAGCTTAATCTCGACTCGTTTATAATTTTTTTAGTTCGAACTCAAATTTCGATAATTCAGCTCGAGTTCAGCTCGATTAAAAATAATCTAGCTCTAGGTTGACTCGGTAGAGCTTGGTAAATGCTCATTAACACATCTTGTCAAGCTGAGTACAAACTCGGTTCAAGATTAGTTCGATTTTAAATCATTCTTGCTGAAAAATATGTACACATAAGAATTTAATTGATAAAGTAACACTAGAAACTAAAAATAACATCTAACTTCCATACACATCCGTATTAACAACTTAATGTTCGTGTTCAGAAGAGTGATTAATCCTTCCAGAAACTCTAAACAAGCCAGCTTGCGAGTTTATCTCCCGAAATGTGTGATGGTACCCTGTTGGAATCTGCCAAAAATTGACACGGAATAAATCCGCCCAAATCGGTGCTTAAAACTTAAAAGACTTAATCATTGTTGACGAATAGTCTCAGGCCGAATATGTGATCTGTAACCTTCAAAATTCATGTAAAATGGCCTTACGGAAAAAATCGCCAAAAAATTACGATAATACCATCCGAAAACAAACTACGCCAAATTGTTGTTTAATGGACTTAATCGTTAGTGGAGAATAGGATCCATAGACTTCACCATCGGTGGTGAATAGCCTCGGGTCGAATTCGTGATCCATAGTCTTCAAAATCGAAATAAAATGGCATTTCGGGAAATTGGTGCTTAAAGGACTTAATCATCGTTGAAGAATAGTCTCAGGGAGAATATGTGATCTGTAGCCTTCAAAATCCAAGTAAAATGGCCCTTCGAAAAAAATCGTCAAAAAATTACGAAAATGCCATCCAAAAACAAATTGTCCCAAATTGTTGCTTAATGGACTTAATCGTCGATGGAGAATATGATACGTAGACTTCACCATCGGTGGAGAATAATCTCGGACCAAATCCGTGATCTATACCCTTCAAAATCGAAAGAAAATGACATTTAGGGAAATTGCCCGAAATCTGTGATGGTACACCTTTGGAATCTGCCAAAAATTGACCCGGAATAAATCTACCCAAATTGGTGCTTAAGGGAATTAAGCATCATTGAATAATAGTCTTTGGCTGAATCTATAATTTGTAGCCTCCAAAGACCAAAATCAAAGAAAAATGGCCCTTCAAAAAAAAAAAAAAAAAAAAGCAAAAAGATACGAAAAATGCCATCCGCAAACAAATTACCCCAAATTGCTGCTTGATGGAATTAATCGTCGGTGGAGAATAGGATCCATAGACTTCTCCATCGGTGGAGAATAGTCTTGGGTCGAATCCCTTATCCTTAGCCTTCAAAATCAAAAGAAAATGGCATTTCGGGAAAATCGCCCAAAATCTGTGATAATACCCCTTTGGAATCTGCCAAAACTTGATCCGGTATAAATCCGCTGAAATCGGTGCTTAAGGGACGTAATCATCGTTGAAGAATAGTCTCAGACCGAATCGGTGATCTGTAGCCTTCAAAATCACAAGAAAATCCCCAAAGAATTACGAAAATGTCATCCGAAAATAAATTACCCCAAATTGTTGATTAATAGACTTCACTATCGGTGGAGAACAGTCTCGGTTTGATTCGGTGATCTGTAGTCTCCAGAATCGAAAGAAAATGGCATTTCAGAAAAATCGCCCAAAATCTATGATGGTACCCCTTTGGAATCTGCCAAAAATTGACCCGGAATAAATCCGCCCAAATCGGTGCTTAATGGATTAAATCAACGTTGAAGAATATCCTCATGTCGAATCCGTGATCTGTAGCCATCAATAACCAATGAAAATGGCATTTCGCCGTCCAAAAAATTACGAAAATGCCATCCGAAAATAAATTGTCCCAAATCGGTGCTTAATGGACTTATAATCCGCGGAGAATAGGATCAATAGACTTCATTATTGGTGGAGAATAACCTCGGCCTGATTTCATGATCTTTATCCTTCAGAATCGAAAGAAAATGACATTTTCGTGGAATCACACGAAATCTGTGATGGTACCCCTTTGGAATCTGCCAAAAATTGACCCGGAATAAATCCGCCCAAATCGGTGCTTAATGGACTCAATCATAGTTGGAGAATTGCCTTTGGCCAATTTCGTGATCTGAGGCCTTCAATATTCAAAGAAAATTACCTTTCGTCGCCCAAAAAATTAAGAAAATGCCATCCGAAAATATATTGGCCCAATTCAGTGCTTAATGGACTTATCATCTGTAGAGAATAGGATCAATAGACTTCCTTATTGGTGGAGAATAGCCTCGGCCTGAATACGTGATCCGTAGCCTCCAGAAACGAAAGAAAATGGCATTTCGGTTAAATCGCCCGAAATCTGTGATGGTACCCCTTTTGAATCTGCCAAAAATTGACCCGGAATAAATCCGCCCAAATCAGTGCTTAATGGACTCAATCATCGTTGGAGAATAGCCTCAGGCCGAATCTGTGATTTGTAGCCTTCAATGTCCAATGAAAATGGTCTTTCGTCGCCCAAAAAATTACGAAAATGCCATCCGAAAATAAATTAGCCAAAATCGGTGCTTAATGGACTTATCATCCGTGGAGAATAGGATCAATAGACTTCATTATCGGTGGAGAATAGCCTCGGCCTGATTCCGTGATCTGTAGCCTCCAAAATAGAAAGAAAATGACATTTCGGATAAATCGCCCGAAATCGGTGATGGTACCCCGTTGGAATCTGCTAAAAATTGATATGGAATAAATCCGCCCAAATCAGTGCTTAATGGACTCAATCATCATTGGAGAATAGCCTCAGGCCGAATCTGTGATCTGTAGCCTTCAATGTCCAATGAAAATGGTCTTTCGTCGCCCAAAAAATTACGAAAATGCAATCCGAAAATAAATTGGCCAAAATCGGTGCTTAATGGACTTATCATCCGTGCAGAATAGGATCAATAGACTTCATTATTGGTTGAGAATAGCCTCGGCCTGAATACGCGATCCGTAGCCTCTAGAAACGAAAGAAAATGGCATTTCTGTTAAATCGCCCGAAATCTGTGTTGGTACCCCTTTGGAATTTACCAAAAATTGACCCGGAATAAATCCGCCCAAATTGGTGCCTAATGGACTCAATCATCGTTGGAGAATATCCTTAGGCCAAATCTGTGATCTGTAGTCTTCAATGTCCAAAGAAAATGGCCTTTCGTCGCCCAAAAATTACGAAAATGCCATCCGAAAATAAATTGGCCCAAATCGGTGCTTAATGGACTTATCATCCATGGAGAATAGTATCATTAGACTTCATTATCGGTGGAGAATAGCCTCGGCATGATTCCGTGACATGAAGCCTCCAGAATCGAAAGAAAATGGCATTTCGGATAAATCCCCCTAAATCGGTGATGGTACCCCCTTTGGAATCTGCCAAAAATTGATCTGGAATAAATCCGCCCAAATCGGTGCTTAATGGGCTCAATCATCATTGGAGAATAGCCTCAGGCTGAATCTGTGACGCATAGCCTTCAATGTCCAAAGAAAATGGCCTTTCGTCGCCTAAAAAACTACGAAAATGCGATCCGAAAATAAATTGGCACAAATCGGTGCTTAATGGACTTATCATCCGTGGAGAATAGGATCAATCGACTTCATTATCGGTAGAGAATAGTCTCGGTCTGATTCCCTGATCTGTAGCCTCCAGAATCGAAAAAAATGGCATTTCGGATAAATCGTCCGAAATCTATGACGGTACCCCTTTGGAATCTGCCAAAAATAGACGCAGAATAAATCCGACCAAATTGGTGCTTAACGGACTCAATCATCGTTGGAGAATAGCCTCAGGCCGAATCCGTGATCTGTAGCCTTCAATATCCAAAGAAAATGGTTTTTCGTCGCCCAAAAAATTACGAAAATGCCATTCGTAAATAAATTGTCCCAAATTGCTGCTTAATGGACTTATCATCCGTGGAGAATAGGATCAATAGACTTCATTATCTGTGGAGAATAGCCTCGGCCTGATTCCCTGATGTGTAGCTTCCAGAATCGAAAGAAAATGGCATTTCGGATAAATCGCCCGAAATCTGTGATGGTACCCCTTTGGAATCTGCCAGAAAATGACCAGGACTAAATCCGCCCAAGTCGGTGCTTAATGGACTAAATCATCGTTGGAGAATCGTTGCAGGCCGAATCCGTGACCTGTAGCCTTCAATATCCAAAGAAAATAACCTTTCGTCGCCCAAAACATTACGAAAATGCCATCCAAAAATAAATTAGCCCAAATCGGTGCTTAATGTACTTATCATCCGTGGATAATAGGATCAATAAACTTCATTATTGGCAGAGAAGAGCCTAGGCCTGATTCAGTGATCTGTAGCCTCCAAAATAGAAAAAATGGCATTTCGGATAAATCGCCCGATATATGTGATGGTACCCCTTTGGAATCTGACAATAATCGGAATAATTCCGCCCAAATCTGTGCTTAATGGACTCAATCATCGTTGGAGAATAGCCTCACGCCGAATCTGTGATTTGTAGCCTTCAATGTCCAATGAAAATGGTCTTTCGTCGCCCAAAAAATTACGAAAATGCCATCCGAAAATAAATTAGCCAAAATCGGTGCTTAATGGACTTATCATCCGTGGAGAATAGGATCAATAGACTTCATTATCGGTGGAGAATAGCCTCGGCCTGATTCCGTGATATGTAGCCTCCAAAATTGAAAGAAAATGGCATTTCGGATAAATCGCCCAAAATCTTTGATGGTACCCCTTTGGAATCTGCCAAAAATTGACCCGGAATAAATTCGCCCAAATTGGTGCTTAATGGACTAAATCATCGTTGGAGAATAGCCTCTGGCCGAATTCGTGATATGTAGCCTTTAATATCCAAAGAAAATTGGCCTTGTCGCCCAAAAAATTACGAAAATGCCATCAGAAAATAAATTGGCCCAAATCGGTGCTTAATGTACTTACCATCCATGGAGAATAGGATCAATAAACTTCATTATCGGTGGATA